ATAATGGAAAGTGAAAGGTTGCCATTTTCAACCGTTGTTTTTTAACACCGTTGTCAATTAAAATAGCATTTATCTAATCGAATGTTTTAATTATATTTAAATTAAATTTAATCGCAATTTAATTTTCTTAGATAAAATTATTTTAATATTAATTAAAGTTTTCATTGATTTCTTAGTATCGATGATAATTAACAGATGGCGCTGCATCGATTTAGATTAAAACGCCGCCTTTTTTTTTTCGGAAATATTTCATTTTATTTTATTTTTAAAAATAAACTTATATTTAAATAAAATGAAGCAAACTTTTAATAAATATTCGTGATTTAAATTTTAAATTAATAAAAATGTATTAAAAATTTATTTTTTTAAAATTAGTTCTTTAAAGTTTGTAATGTTAATTAACTGCATCGAATGGTTCTCGTCACGAACGAAGAAAATATGAAACTATGGCTAATTGAAGAAATTTTAAACACGTTATTCGTTTAATATTACAACCATTATTTCTTTTTTCCTTATTCTATATTTATTTTTACCACAAACTCAGACTCAACATAGCCGAGTCGGAATAAGACCATTAAAATTTTAAACATGGACCCTGCACCTGTTAAGACCAAAACTTTGGATGAAAGAAGAAGAAAAGATAGAAAAAAAGCGAGACATTTCTGCCATTATTTTGTATAAATAAATAGCGGGGGTAGAAGCTTTAACACGCTTGCGCAATATGCTGATGAATTACAACACGTGCTCGTGCATAAGGATCGTGCATGTGCTTTTTCTACGCTACTTCTTCCCTCCCGCCTTCCCTCCTTCTACAAATTAGAAGTGCTAAATAGTGCTGAATTGACGTGGTATATAAATTATAGCTTTTATGATTTATATATTTTGATTTTGAATATGGAATAAACAAACTCTAGACCGGTTTTCGTAAAGAAAATAGACCTAAGCGAAGATTTCAGGAATATCGAATGAATAATCGATAATTATCAGGTTTTCTTTTGTGTATCTATTTATGGATAGAGAATGGAAGATATCGATGAAGATCATATAAAGAAAGATAAATTCTAAAATTTCGATCTAAAAAAAGGTAAATTTATATTTAACTACAAGAATGAGAATGAGTCAAAAAGCGCGCCGCTTCACAAAGAACATTAGGAATGAGTAAAAGGAGGACAATTAACGAGAATTCGGAAATAACTCTAGTTTGAATCCTGATATAGGATTTGTCATTTGGTTAGACAGTATTTCCTTTATTGTCGGTAAAATTTTTTAAACTAAATCCTAATAGATAATGCTTAATAGATAAACACGAAGTAAAACGAAATTAAAAAGATTAATAGTAATTTAATTAATAAGTTTGTTGACACTATTAATTTGCCATATTTTAATGAGCCATACGCGTTTCATCTACAATACATTTAATTTCCTCACGTGTCAACACAATCAACAAATGACGTTTCGCAGCTGTATAGGATTAACAATTTGACAAATGTACACGGTAAACTTTTCAGTTCCTTTTCTTGCAGGTGCAGTTCGGAGCCAAACTACCACCCTCACACTTGGCCTCTGTATCAACAATGTACCCCAACTAAACCACACACACATTTCTTTTCCCACGAAATCTGTCTAAAACCGTGTTATTTCAGGTGAAAAAAGAATTGTCTCAAAGCTTTAGAATAGACGTATATATACACAAAGTTTTACCGTTCAATAAAACCAGACATTTTAAACAACGAAAATTCATTCTTTTCTTTAAACTTATCCGAGTCACACCTTCTAAATCTATTGCAATAGGCAAGATGTTCTTACCACATCTGGCATTATGAAATTTACACATGTATTGACTCACCCGCTCCCACTTTTTTTAATATATGTGAGCGGGCCTTAATTCTTTGGATTAGTAAAGCTTAATCTCAATAGAATCTTGTAAGGGAGGAACCTTTTAAGCTTGAATCTATCCTGCTGCGAAAAACGTGACGTTGCAAATGACCCTGAAAATGAGCTAGATCTTGTTGAACGCTTAAACACAATATGGAATATTGTTCTATTGTTACTTTAACTGGAAACAGCTGTAATTAAGAAATTACTTAATTTTTATTTTAAAGTTCCTTCTTGTATTTACAACTTTGACAATTACTCTACATACTTTAAAACTTATCGAAGACTATATTATTATTATTGAACTTATCGAACATTTAAATATTAAATAAGCGTTATGGACTGATACGTAACATGCTTACGCAGCTGTTTTTCAAGTCCGTAGTTCGTCTCGCTATTTCAAGTTTCTATACTGACAAAGCATCTTCAAATTATAAAATGATGATTCGTAAAAATATTTATAAATATTATAAATTATTAGCCTTATATATTATTGTAATATAATAATTTATGATAATTCTTCTTATATTTAGTGTATGAATATACTTTATATTAATTTTTTTACGTACAGTACTTTATCTTGAATATCTAGTATAACATATAATTTACTAAACTTACACGTTGATAATTAAACTTTTTATATTAAAAAGTTAATAATATTTGATTTTATTTAAAAATTTATAGATGTTAAAATGGTTATAAGTCTTTTTAAATAAAATTTGCCATCTTTAAAGAGATCAGATTTGAGATATCACTATTTATTTATGATCACTAAATAGGTAGAAATCTTAAAAAAAAAAAATATTTTAAGATTAAAGTTTAACTTCTAAACTGCTTACATTTATTATTACTGATAATTAAAATGCTAATTTTAGAATTTAGATATTGTATCGCGGTCTAACTTAAGCAGTTTTGTTATCGTGTTACTACAGAATAAGAGCTTACATACTGAAAGAATTCTGTAGACAAACAAAAAATTTCTCATCTATTAAATGGTTGAAATAATAATTTATTAGTATTTTATTATATAATACATTTTTCATTTATTATTATAGGGCCTATATTATTAAATAAGAGTTTAGATAAGGCTCGACTAGTTACATATGTGTGCCTTTTCCAAAAGCTATAAAAAGTATAAAAATAAATAAAACAGATTTTTTTCATAATTTATCAGAAAAAATTTTATATCACTTTATATTATCCTTTTTACATGAAAGAGTACATTTGTGTTACCCCTCTTAGTTTGGATTCCCAAAATTTGTCCTAACCAAATTTTTGAGATCTTGCTAAGTCTTCTCTATGTGGTCTGATTATATAATTAAAAAATTATTTTAATATATTTTAATTTTACAAGTATAGAAATAATTTTACATATTAATTTTAATATATTTTACGATATATTAAATTTAAAAGATGTAACTAAAATTTAGATCCCTTTCTTTGATTTTATAACAATGAAAAATATTCAGCTTCTAAAGGCCGAAGTTTCAGATGGAAAACATTATAACTATTAACTTAGCTAAAAAACCATTCTTTCAAGAAAACTTAATTTTAATTTAAAATCATTCTTTTAATTTTAAATATATAGTTTTGGCAATGTATAAGATAGTTATAAAAACTTTTTTTGTTTTAAAGTTATATAAATAATATTCACAAAGATAATAATAGAGTTATATAATAAGAAAAAATCCAGAAAAAATATCTCCAGAAAGATAATGCGCATGCTTACAGGAAAAAAAAAATGAAAGAAAGATCTGTGAAGTTAAATAGAAGTGGGAGGAGTAAAATTTCGAAGTATTATAAGATGTAAGAATTATTTTAAAATACTTTTCTAGTAATATATTAAACTGCTTTTAATTTGTACTTATATTTAAAAAATTCTGTTAACTGACTTTTGACCATCCTGTATACTTAACAATGTTCAATCTGTTTCAAGTAAACTGAATTCCTATATTTTATATATTGAATTTGTGCTAATTTATATATTGTACAAGAAGAATTCTATTTTGAATACCTTTTTCTAAAGTTTTTACGTAATAAAGTACAGCAATTTAGTCTTTACAATGGTTAACTGACTTTTGGGCTATCCTGTGTATAAAAAATTTTATTTTATATTTTTAAAAATTTTAAATTTGTAAAATATAACCCAGTGTTTCTCTCAACCTCTAACGAATCGTCGCCCCCTTTAATGCAGTATCGTCCTCTTCAATAAAACCGTTACGTAGTATCGTCCCCTTCACTTCAAAATTCCGATGCCGAGGGCCATGGCTAACGCCAAAATCGTACTGCATTGAATAGACTAGTGACTAGTATAATGCTATTTGTTTAATTATTATACGATATAACGAATAAAATATCTAATTATTTTTAATATAATGTTATACTATATAGCCCAGAAAATTGTTTTCGCCCCCCAAATATAAATTGTTACTAATCGCCCCTCAACATGGAAAAACGCCCACATGTGATATCGCCCCCGTTGAGAAACATTGATATAACCTATTCATATTATTTAAAATTTCTTATATTTTAAAATAATACACAGATGATAAAATATTTAACATATTTGTATAATTTAAATATTAATAACTCATTAAAAATTATTTAGAGAATTTTTAAAAACATTTTTTTTTAATCTTAAAACAATTAGAATGATTTACTTTTTAAAATTCTAACAGAGAAAAATCTTTATAAAAATTATTGATTTTATTTTAATATTTAAAAATATATAATGTTTTTATTTTTCTCATATTAATGGAGAGAAAAATGAAGGATTTAAACAAGTTTTTCTTATGCAAAAGTTATGAAAAATATAAGAAAAATTAAGGAAAAATTAATAATTAAATCTTTCCAAAAAAACTAAAATTGTGATTTTATTGAAAATTTTAAAAATTTCCAATAAATTATGAATTTATTGGAAATTCAGTAAATTAACAAATACATATAGATAATTTTTATATTGCTAGAGAGAAAACAATAGAAAATTTAAATATATTTTAACACGTTAAAAAATTAAGATTAAAAAAATTCCCGATAACATATAAACAGAGAAGCACGATCTTAATGTTTACATTAAGAGGACTGAAACTACTCGTTACGAATCGACCAATGAAACTATACCTTACCTAAATACCACATGACACGACGCAACCAATGAGAAGCGAACGATCGCTTTAGCCATCTTCCAGTATAAAACGTGGGTGTTTAGTGGCGAATATGTTCAGATCAAACATAAGAAGGTCGAAGGGTTACTTATCGTACATAATAATCGTCCGGAAAGCGTGTATGTAGTCCAATTAGTTAATAATGTTATCGGCGAGACGTAAGAATCGGTGAGAAAGACGTTTGTGTTTGTTGTGTGTTGCAAGATTCCCGTCACCCAAGACTTATCGAGGGGGGAACTGTCATGGCGGCGATCGTAGGAACGATCGTTTGGTTGATGATTCTAATGTCGTCTGTTGCCTGTCAGAATCGTCTGTGTCCTTCATCTTGTTCGTGTTTGGGATCGTTCGTCGATTGTGCGAAACGTGGATTGATCGAAATACCAAAGGATCTACCCGACTGGCTGGAAATATTGTAAGTATATCAAGCGACCTTCGTTATATTGACTTAGGGTTTGTATGCGAATTGATGTATTCTAAACACGTAACTAGCCGAGATGTGATAGAATAGAATTATGCACGAAGAAGTGCGTAATTCTATTGACATTCGAAGGCTTAATTGATAAAATATCGCAATTTACGATGTATGTAAATATATCGTAAATTGCGATCATTCGAAGGCTTTTAATTTATAAAATATCGCAATTTACGATGTATTTACATACATCGTAAATTGCGATATTTTATCAATTAAGACTTGGAATCTATATTTAAAACAGTGTTTAGTATAGCAAAAAAGGTTAACGTCGATAAAGCGTCAGTGCGGCTTTTCTACGAGCTGCAATCTATCTTGCAAATTATACAATCGCTCTGGAATATTTAATTCATAATCTTATTATTAAATATTCTCATTAACGATTTGTGTCCATATTCGTTTTTTTAGTTTCAAATTCGTTAGTAAATGTAAGGTTTTCTTATGGATATATTTATATGAAATGAAAGTTTTCGCGTTATTAGTGATGAAAATGGATATTTTAAATCTTCAACATTTGAGCTACCGATGTTACCAGATGTGCCGTTGTCAAAGCGGGAACATTCGAGGAGTTTTCTTAAATATGTCATCGAATGTTATTTTACATAAATAATGTTTAATGGTATGAATGCAAAATTAGTTTTTGTTTTTTTTTCTCCTGATAATTTTCGAAGATAGGAAACTAATTTCACGATTTCCAACGATAACAATAGGGAGATGGGTGTGGTTCATTTGTTAAGGGTTCCCAGTTTTGGCAACAAAGTAATGAATGTCGGCTTCCCTCTCTCTTTTTTAGAAATCTGTTCTCGATTTTTTCTCCCTTCCAGACTTCCAGTTGGGTCTATAAGTGTGTCAGCGTAGAGCAGATGCGATTTCTGCACCCATCCCGTGATTTAGAAATGTCAGAATTAACCTTTTGCACCCCTAACATCTTCCTCTCCTTTCGAATCGTCACATAAATTGATTTAAAAAAATTCTTTTCTTAATTTTATAACTTCTAGAATTAACTTTATGTAATAATTTTACAATTTTTATAAATATTTACGCGATGTTTGAGTAATTTCATCCACACGAGAAGCCATTTAGGTGGCATTTAAATATCATATGTGGTTATAGAGAATGGGGATATTATGGGTGCTGCGGTAATTCGGTCAACAACTCGATTGAAACAAGAAAAAAAAGAACATGAGAAAGAAACAAAACCGTGCCGTTTGATTTAAGGGGAAAATTTTCACTCGATCACGTGATTTCGACGTCATGGGTCTGTGAAAAGCATTTACGGTGCTCTTGTGTATCGGGCGTGGTCACGTGCGATTACTTTGCCCCTCCGATATAAAGGTACAGAAGAGAATTTTTGTCGAGGAATACGATTTTTATGAATGCAATTTCTATCCATTAAACTAGTCGAATCGATCGAGAGGCAGAGGAGAGAATCCACGAAATTACAGCGTGCGAAATGCCCTGAAAATTCAACCATTTCGTGTCCATTCTTGAAATAATCAATTGCAGTGTATTTTTCATATTTTTTTTTCTTTTGTCGAATGCATTCTCTGGCGGTAGCTTCCGTAGTCTGGTTGCCATAACAACCGAACCACATGGCACGACGTGTTTACCAGCCCGGGGGTGTGCCGGTCGTTTACCATTCGGGTGTTTAGAGAAGGGACGGCAGAGGATGACGAACCCGAAACTTGTGAAGTATTCTTTCGTCATCGGGTATCGTAATCCTAATGAGTTTCCAGCTTAGTTAAATGAATACCGTTGACAAGTCCAGGTGTCCGGTTTAAAGTGATGGATGGTAGGGGTTCTAGCTTTCAATAAGAGACAACTATTGTACGATTTTGATAAAAGTAGACTCCCCGAAGCTGGTCAGGTGCATTTGTGTAGGAGCATTCACGAGTTTTCTTCATTCTAGCACAAACTCGAGCGGACTTCACACCTGTTTACAATAAATGGATCTTTACATTTTTCGGAGTTGGCAGATAAAAATGAAAAATATTCTCGCTTCTTTCTTGTATTTCTACATCAGTTTGCTCAATTTGTTAATTTGTGTTTAAATTTTATTTACGTAAAATCTGTCTTCTTTTTACATATTTTAAAGATTTTTAAGTGTTTAAATTATATGGCATATTTCTACCGCTGTTAAAAGGCATTTTAAAAATTAATATCATTAATATAAATAACTTTTAAAGTCAGAATGTGATATAACGTTTAAAAATTTAGATATTCTTGATTTTTTTTTTGTAACGTTTTAAAAGATAGAAACTACTTTTACTTTTAAAAAAGTGAATTTTATAAAGGTGCCAAAACCGAATCCTTTTAGTTTTTATGAACTTTTATGATTTATTTTTGTGAATGAATTATACGGATTTAAGGAAACCGTACATATTTTAATTATTACTTTAATTCAAAATTACGAGATTATTTAAAAAACGAATAGTCCTATAGCAGTATAATTAATCCAAAAAATCCGGTAAAATTATAATAAATCTAATTAGGGGCACATGTTTTCCAAATGTTATCAATTACGAATTTTTAATTTAAAAAATTAGTTGGCTTTAAAAAAGTTTTTTCCTTTTCTCATTTATTAATTCTTAATCGAAATTAGAAAGAAATTCAGCTCTTCAATTATTCATTGACAGGATACACTGTTTAATTATTGTTGTTATGTTGCCTTAATTAAGTTTTTCATTATAGCAATTAATTAGAAATCCATATTAACCAATGAATTTCGCTTTAATTAAGAACTAATTAAGATTAGTTTATATATATGTGTGTGTTTGTATTTATATATTTTGTATGAGATTAGTTGAATTTTTTATTAATTAATATATAATTAATGAGTCTATTGTTTCTCAGAAAATGCATAATTTTTTTAGAAAACCAGAAAATTAACAACAAAACATTTTGTAAATTATAAAGTTGTACTTTGTAAATTGTTAAAGTGATGAAAAAATGAACTTTTTAAAAAAATCTATTTTTTTTCGTATTTTTAAATGAATATTATACTGTATAAAGCAGCGGTTTAAAGTAAAGCAGTGTAATGCTGTATATTGTGTAGAATATAAAGCAGCAGTATATGATATGCTGTGATAGCAAATTTTATATTACTTCCATGTATATAATGTTTTATGTAATAAATGATTATCATTAATTTATGCATAAATTATGCAGATTTAGAATTGGAATTAATCTGTATAATATGATAGATCTTCATTCTGTAGAACGCATCACATTTATATTATTTATAATCTTTTTTTTTAGGACCATAATTTATGAAAATTAGTTTTTGTTGATAGTTTTTGTCACAGCTCAGAATTATACCAGTTTATATATAGATGTTTGTAACAAAAGAAGAGGGTTACAAATGTTAAGTTAAAAAAAAAGAGAGGAGAAAGAAATGCGAATATCGGTTAGCAGGCATTCAGGTATTTCAAATAGAAGTTAATTTTCAAACAAGCAATGGAAATCACGCAATTAAGTTTTTTATACTCAATTGAAACATTCATTTAGCGTTAAATTAAAAAAAAATAAATAAATTCCTTCTTTAAGATACTTATTTTAAAATTTATATTAAAAAGTAAATGGCTGGATAATAAAATATTAATTGAGGTTGTTTGAAGTACCAATTAAGACTTTTTTCCCTCTGAAAATTGATTTTGTTTTAGCATTTTTTAAAAATTTTTATTCTATATACTGTAACAGTTTTTTTTTTAATTTTTTGAAATCTCTTTAAATTTCAAGAATATTATTATTATTATTATTATTATAAAGTTCAGACTTGTTTAAAAGCTCGTATTATTGGCATAAAAAATCAGAATAACTTTTTAATTTTTATACTTTATTAAATACTTGAAGTGTTTTTTGTTAATTTTCTCAAATATATAATTTAATTTACTCTGTTATTAAGCATAATTTATAAATATTATGTTTTATATTTTGCTTAAAATATAAACATAATGGTTATAAATTATGCGTCATATTTTGCTTAAAACTGCCTCCAGTAATCTACTATGACTTTATTCAAGTGAAAATAAAATGGCATACATTTAAAAAAATAATAAAATTTGAAGATCATTCGAGCAATGTAAACCAATTTTCGAACTAAGTGGAGATTAGATTAGCAATTTATATTCAGCGTTATGTCGGAGAGTCGATGAAAATCGAACAAAATTGGGAGTCTATGTTTACTTAAGAGAAATAGGAGATAAAGCAGAGACCAAAAAAGGTATTCATTCATCCATTTGAGAAGTGTGAGCACGTTTGGCTCCAGTAATGCCTGACGAATATTAATCAGACACCACCTAATTCCATTAAAGAAAACGATAGATTTTTCTGATATTAGGACTGTTATTATCTCACCCGTTTATCGAGACGACGTCTAACTAACTAACCCCTTCCTCGATCACTTCTCAGTCATTTCTCAAGTTAGGGCATTAGCCCTTGGCAGGTCATCATTAAGGATCCTTCATTAATATATTCGCTTTGTGATCAATTGTCATCGCTCCAACAAAAAAATTATATTTTTTTGAATTATATTTTCTGTTTCAATGAATTACAGTTTAATTCTTTACCTGTTTTTTTAGTTGTCTTTCGTGTTTTTTTTAAAATTAATTTCATTAGTTTTAAAAATGATTTACATCATCCTTGTAAGCGCTTTATATATTTCGGGTACAGGCGTTCTGGAATTAATCTTGTAATTTTATTAACTATAAAGAAAGATGTATAAATTTAAAAACTTTTATTAATTATTCAAGATGTTTTAAGGTCTCTAATATTAAAGGAATATTTTGTATTCGTTCATTTTAAAGCATTCTAGAATTTTTATCGTTAAGTTATAAAAATGAGGATTTGATTACATCCGAGACTTTCATAATGCGGATGTTGTGATAATGAATTTTTCAAGGAAGTTGTTAATAATAATATATATATATATTTAATGAGATAAATTAATATAAAATTGTTCGATTTATTTCTTATATTATGCTAATTTAATAGAATCTCGAAATGTTTAATGCAACTGTTTTCTAAATTTTTTATTGTATTATTTTCTTTGTAGATATCTACAAAGTAACCATCTGACGTCGGTAGCCGATACAGCATTCTCAGACACTCATTCTCTGCATGAAATGTGAGTACGAGTTTTGTTTATTTTTTATTCACTGTGTTTGTTTTACTTAGCGATTGAAAAAAATGACGCATAGGTTAACATTCGTTATCATTGCATTTATTGATAAGGATATAGTCCCGTAGGCAGCCATAGAGGTTTTAAAAAAATGTGTATGACAATACTTGACAGGTGAGATCTCACCTACATTCCGCATTTTGTTCGATCCGCAGCGGGGATTGCGATTTATGGAGAGCTAAGGCGCCAGACCCAGTCCACCCTCTTTCCATCTTCCCGGCGGGGAAACCCCTGCGTCTTTTGTAACGTTCCTACCTCAATAGACATTCTTGCCCTCCCAGTTCTTTCTAAATCACTCCAGTCTGACTCGAACCTGTTTTTCTCCCGTCTTCTCCCCTGTATTGAAAACCATCACAGAATCAAAATGTGCCCGTAGGGTGTACAAGCACAGGAGTTTAGTCTCTTTCCTGTCAGGATTATGTTAATGCTAATTAAGATTTAAAAAAAAGAATGATTTTTCCTACTAAGGCTGTTTCCAGGGGGGAAATTGTTTAATTGTTCTCGTAAAAGAGAGCTCGATTGTTGATAGAAATCACGATTTTCGTTCGCACCGTCGAAAAAAGTTCTACTTTTCTGTGAATATCATAAACCGGCATCACGACTTCAGCTCTAACTTTGTATCGGAAATTCATTTTGCTTTAAAATATTTCCTAACATTTGTTAACAAAATCACCGTTAACGTGTTAATTGCCATTAAATTAATAAATATTTAAAAACTTGTTAATTTAGATTCATGTTTTTGAAAATTGTTTTGTTCTTTTCATGTGTATAAACTATACAATTTCGGTATGGATAGGAAATTCTACTACATCAAAACACATACATACATATACATAAATAGAGAGAGAGAAACATTTAAAAATAGAATAATTTTATTACGTATATAACCGATATCAAAACGCAAAAATTGTTCCTCACTTTTTAAATTTAAAAACTAGAATTTTTCGGTGTGCCCCTTTTTTGGCAATTAAAAAGTCTGGCGATATGACGTTAGAAAAGAGACCCTCGGCTGCGATAAACACCTTTCTGTTGATGCCATTGGCCCGACGTCTTCCACGCAAGGGTTAGGTGCTGGCGCCTAACTGGTATGTGAACGGGCCAAGGTGTGAACACGAGTCCGGTTCACTCGTCACACGAAGGTCAAGGTTCATCCAGATGGATATCCGATGAGAATACCTTTTTGGAGATGCGAATATACATACACACGAGCGCCTATCCCACGCGACGCACCCGTTTCTATGGCGTGACGCGTCCAGGGGAGGTTATTCGCGTTGTCGAGTATCAATCTTTCCCTTCATCGAAGAGTGTTACTAGAAAATAGTAGGTGAAAGCAACCCTATCCGTCCTTTAGAGAATAAATCTGGCGAATCTTCCACTAGGTTTCTCACCTCGGGTGCGAAAAATACGCTGGATTCTATCAGCGGGGTTTTACTCCATCTATCACTTGTCAAGACATTTAAACGCTTTTTTTGGCCCGGAGTAAGAGGCGATGCGCAAAAATTAGCCAACATTGTTGTTCCCGCCATCCCTTTTTCTTTCGACCCCAGTATCGTGAGGGAGTCTGGGTAATTACTCCCACCCGTGATCGTCTCCCGCGTAGACGTCGAAGGTCGACCACTCTCACCTTTAGCAGTCGCGACGGTCTTTGCCACCTTTTCATGTAATGCGTTAAGAACTGGTGTTTGCTCACGTGACTCGCACCTTTCTAAATTTATGAAATGTTAACTTTTTCCTTTTTAAAGACGCAGTTTGCTTCTTTTATAAAGTTATTTTATTAAACGATGTTAACTGTTACTGAATTATTTATTATATAAGTGTAAATTAAGCATTATAAGTTATATTATTTGTTTTAATATATATTATACATATGTAAAGGACAATTTCCTGTCATTCCTCCCATAGTGCGCTCAAAAGTTGCACCTTATTTTAAGTTTTCAATTTTAAAATTTTCTCGATTTTTTTAAATTTTTTCGGAAAATAAAAAAAAATGATAATTTAAAAATATATAGAAATATTCCGTTATAGTGACACTGAACGGCGATAAACCGCAATTCGAAAGCACGCGACTGCAACGACGCCGCCATTTTGGAATCGGAAGCGAAGTGAGAGTAAAATAGATCGAATTAACAAAATTTCGCTTCGGATAACGATTTTTCTAAGAAACTCGTCGACGCACATTGCATAGAATCTCCTACACACGAAAAAGTTTCGAACACGCGAATGTAGATATAAATATTTGGTAAAGTTTTCCGTTGACACCGCAGACAGGAGTGATTAGAAGCAATATAGGTCTGCAAGGAGGGCGAGGTGACTTTAAAAAGGGTATTTGCTTCTTGATGGTGCGCGGTTCCTCTGGAACTGTGTGGAATCGCCATCTAGAGATTCTGAATACATAATTTTTGTAGTTCAGGAGCTGTTGATTGGCTCAGTCATCGACGCTCCTCATTAATTCTAATTCAAAGAATAGACAGATTATTTATGGCTGTTGGATACTAACGTCGATCGATTCCAATCTGTAAGAAGGATAGACAGAGGGTCCTGCAGAATCTTTCGCTTTTCATTAATCACGTGTCTACCTTTTCTGCACGTGCTCCATAGCGGTTATCTTCCCACGTTTTACAATCAAATTTAGTAGCATTTTCTTTCCCGTTCGGTTTGGTGAATCTTAATTCACATTTATTATGTGTGTTTGTGTTTTTTTTTTCTTTTTAACAGGAATAAACTTTCCATGTTTTTCGAATATATAATGAATACTCGTTTGTTAGGAGTTAACAGAGCCTTTCTTTATTTAGAATTTCGTGTTTTTTTTAAACTTTTTGTTACGTTTTTGTGTTTTGAATAAAGATCTTTCCACTGTTTGTTTGCATCGAATCCGCAATAAATCATTTTTTCTGGTGGGGTGGTGTTTCTTTCTGAATCGGAAATCTCGTTTTATATTATTTTGGCTTATTTTATTTTATTCTTTTTGAATCTCCAAACTTTCCCATGATTTAAAAAACGAATCTGTTATAAATTTTCCGTAATAAAATGAGTTAGTGATTTTTTTAGGTCGAAATTTCCAGCTTATTGTTATATTTCGAGTTTTTTTCGTTTTGTTTTTAGAAGGACAAGCTTTTCCATATTTTAATATCGAGTCTTTCTTTGTTCTAGAGTGATGGAGCCGCTCTTTATTCAGAATTTCGAGTTTTATATTGTTCTTGGGGTGTTGATGAATTTCACTTTTTGTTCTTTTTTTTTCCTGAAAGAACAAAGCCAGTGCTCGCTGACTTTTTGTAGCAGTTTGTGTGGGTGATTGAAAGAGGCGCTCGATGGGTGATTTTATGAAAGGTGTGGCTAATCTTTAGAAAGGAAGAGGGGGGGAAAACGAGATTGTGGTTCAATTAAAATTCCGAGGCAAGTTTTCTTTCGTTCTTTCTAATGGTTAGCCTTTATTAATATATTTTTATAAAAAGCTTTGCTGATAACGGGTTTAATATGCTTTATCGATTTTATGTAAATTATTTGTGTGATTTATATTAAAGGTGAATGAATTTAATACGATTGTGACGTATTTAGTGTGTGTTACTTATTCGTACGATGTTCCGAGTGAGGAATTTGCTGACTTCGAACTATTTTATGGAATGTTATTACGAATAAACAAAATAAATCGAAGATAAAATGTCGAGTTACGAAACAATTTTATCTATAAAACTGATTATTATTTTGTTTGATGACAAAATATTTACAGAATCAATAACGTTTCTATAATAGTAACGAAATTTTGAGTGCTTTGTTTTCTAGTCGACTTGACTTGACTACGTTGGGACAACTGAGGCATTTTGGTAGTTGGGGTGATAATGATAAGATGCCACTTTTCCGTTGTCCGTGAGACTTGTTCACACCTTTATTCGCTAGTTGTGATTGAGATAACATGCTTCGTTACTTGACTATGTCGAATCTTATCTGCTTTTTCTCGCGAACTTATTTAATCGCCCACTCCCGTCTAAGATATGTTAAAATTCGTGAAATAGCGTAGTCGAAACATAATGGTGTAGTATGAATCGATCATTTTGAAAGCATTTTCTTAAAATTTAAGAAACACTAATTTGAATATATGTTAGAATTATAATATGTATAGTCCTGTTTACCTTTATGCAAATTTTATTTGCAGAATTAACAAATTTATAAATAACTAAAAGTGCATATATTTTTCTATAATTTTTGATAAAATAATAATAAAATACAATTGATTTAAATAAAAAAAATTATATTGTTTCATTGTAGTTCAAAGTCCGATTTCGAAACATTGATCTGATATGCCAAATGTACTTTTCATCTTGCAATTGTCAGATAGATTTACTTTAGGACCTTTTAGTTGCAGCAGATGGCATTATGTTTGATAATTGTTTCGTTGACTCGGTTTCTTCAACCCGATCTCTCGGGGATCATTAGGTCGCACGTGTGTTGAAGCTAAAACTCCGATTACTTTCAGGTGCGACTTTGAAGTATCCGAAGGGTTTAGAAATGCAATCGCTCCGCCTACGTGGGCTGAGATTCAGGGTGTGAAAAGTAGCCGAGACACAATGTCAAGACACTCCCCTGTCACCTGGTGCGTCACATAAATTTAGGCGGTTCTCGTAAAACTGTCCCATTGCTCGTATCCTTATTGCCGGATTGTCCATAATGCCACTTAGATTATCCCAAGATTCTTAATACGCGTTTGTTATTGTTTTTTTTGAATTCCTCTGTGTACACGCTGATGTAAAATGTCGAAATTCGGTTTATTATGTGGGTTCGAATGAAAAATGCCTGATATTGCTAACGATTCTAGTTACAGGTGTCTGGTGGGTGCGGGTAACGCACGTGCTCAGACAAAAGATAGAAAGCGTCAGGTGTAAATGGCCGTCTCATTACATGTTGAACCTCGCCTCTCCTTCAACTCTGCACGTGTTGTCAAGGTGAATATTTAGTTACTGGGCGGTAACCGTTTCGCCTAACTCAATGCCGGATGTAAAGTTTTTGAAATAAAAAAGAATTAAACCTCCAAAAAGTGAGCTTTAGCACATTTAATAAAAGTTTAATGCTAAGTTATCCTATGCAGAAAAGCGTTCTCATCTGTTACCAGTTCGTGGGAAAGGATGAGACGTGTGCCATTCGCATCCTGACATGGTAGTATTTCTCTATTAAATTCTGACAATCACCGGCTAGGAAGATTGGAACCCATGACTCAGTCGTCGAGCTAGAAATTACATTAAGTCGTTAGAATAGACGTAATTGGATTCACTCTCTAAATATCAATCACGATTGGACGGACGGTGTTGCTGCACGAGATGATTACTTTCAATTTGGTCATCACATCCTTCCTCTGGCTAAATAGGAAGTGTGGGCGAAGTAAACCGTCTTTACGGTCATTGTTAAATTTGTTAATGCGAAATGGAATTCATTTATGTCACCGTGAATAAAGTGGGGGACGGTTTAGTTTCAACTAAATTTAATTGTCGTCTTGCCGTTGAATCAGTGTTATGAAATTTAGTGATTGAGAGCCAACCCGGTCTCAATAAAGTGTTATAAGAAAATTGCTTTGCCATATCCTGACTCGAGAATGCTCGAATTTTAATCATTCGCTCTCTTAATTTAACACGCTGTCACGCGTTATTACACTTATTCCTGTCGATAAAAGGATATCCTTTGAATACTTCGGCAATCGATTACGTGATTAGATATAGAAGAATAATTTCTTAATTTGTTTCAAGATGCAAATTTTATGATTTAAGAAATAAATGATGCACACATACATATTGATAATTAATAAAATTTAACTAATTTCAGAAACTTAAATCACAATCAGATTAGAACGCTTAACACCACGGCATTTCGTCATCTAAACGAATTAGAAATCTTGTAAGTAAAAATATTCTATTATTTAATTAGTCCTTCATTCTATTATTAACTCTGTTTGACCTATAACTTTATTTATATATCATGTAATTTTGTAATGTAGTTTTTAATTCCGGTTTTGTAAGGTGATACACCAATTATATTCAAACGTGGAAACATTAAAATAGAGATAACGAATTAGTGCCTCTTATAATCCTTCTTCCTAGAACATTATCACTTTTTTATGTTAAAAAATGTTTAAATAAATAAAAATACCTCATGATTTTATTTTATTTTAGGAAAATCGAACATAATCATTTAAGCGATATTCCTGATCTCGGTTATTTACCAAATTTGACGATGTTGTATCTGTAAGTATATTGTCAGTAGTTGAATTAAATTTTATTTATATATAATTCTTTTATAATAAACGGTTCTAAACACTTCTAAAATAAATAATTTATTCTTAAATTAATATTTTTTTCTTTAATAAAATTCAATTTTTCAGTTTAAGATATTGTATTTTTATAGCATTTATTGAAAGAGTGTGTATTCCAACTAGTAAGTCGCGATCTCTCAGAATTTCAGTTCTTTTAATATGCTAGAAGAGTATTCTGTTCTAAAATAGCGTTGGAAAATGTTACGCTATTATAATAACTTATATACATATACACACTTAGGCTACTTTCTTATTAAATACAGACGATATTGGTATACATGTATGGAATTTTCAAAAGAATTAATTTATGATAATTTAATTTTAATTAATATTTCAGTTCCAACAACGAAATCTTCACGATTAGTAGGACTGCTTTAGAGAACTATCCCAAATTGAAAGTATTATACTTAGGTAATAATAAAATTGTCGACATTCCTTCTGGAACCTTTCCGGATCTCATTAAGCTGACCATTTTGTAAGTAATTTTATATTATTATAATAATTTTAAATCTTGAAAACAACACAAATTTCCTATATATCTTATTACGCAGACAAGTCGTTTTTTTTCTTATTTTATTCTATTATGATGTCCATTATTTACTCCCCTTTTCCCTATGACGTTATATCGTCATAGCAACCGTAGATGTAGCTTTATTCATTTATATTTTCCTTTAGTGATCGTAACTCTTGGCAAGGACATTTCGACCCACGTAGTTGTGCAGGTGTTGGCAGCTGTCCCGTAGACTGCGTGGTGTGATCGCAGCTGGTCTCCTTGTCCGTTTACCTTCGAAACTGTCGTAGAAAGCGCCATTTTTTTCCTTGTTTTTAAATGAACAACTAGACGCGAATACGCGAACGGAACATTTCGAAGCTGGAGCTATAAGTTCTCCCCACTGAAAATACTCGAGTCGATGACGTCAGTTGTTTAACTTCCCGAGCCCTGATGAAATCCTTTGCGCATTGTTGCTACTTATAGTTAGCACTTGTTATTTTTGTTTCCTTTCCCCTATTTCTAATTTGGTGTTTCGGTCCCAGGTGTTAGTACCGGCAACGCTTTGATCGCAACCTACTTACACAATCTATAAATGACGTATTCTATACTTTATCTCCTGCACCCACTTTTTTTTTAACGTAAATTATCAGTCTTTTCACACCTTCGTTCATAATTTTTTCCGATTTTTCCTATATTATTTTTTTATAATTGGAAAATTAGAAGTTGTTGGGCTAGACGACATCTGGGCTGAGTCATAACCCTTTCTGTACGTTCCCACCTTTGTGTTTGGAAAGGATTGCAGTTATTGAAGCTTTTGTTAACAACCACCCCATTTTCCCAGTTCATTTTTTTTCCTTTCTACATATTTTTCTTTCATTTGTGATTTAGAATTGACTTGTAACACCTAACATTAATAATTGCTTGAATTTTAGTAAATTTTCTGGAAAATAAATTATTGTTGGAAACTTTGAATAGACTTTTTTTTTTAATTTTAAAATGTTAAAATGTTACAATCTTAAATTAAATATTTTTTTACTGCAATAAGAAATACATGAAGTATTTTGTGAAATAGATGTTTTCAAGTTCAGTTATAGCTTTATGAATATTTTGTAATATTTAAATCTATTCAAATATATAGTTCATATTTTTTAAAAATTTACAGAAAGGTTAATGACAAGTACTTTTTTGCTTGTGAATAGTTTGTATATGTGAATGTATTAAACTTAATGATTGCTTCTGCATTATCCTAAGATTGACAGATTTTGCTACTATCAAATCAATAGAAATTTGTGCAGTTATAATTCATTTTTTTTTACTTTCAAAAGAAGCTAAGTAAGAATGATTAGATTTCTAGTTTATTTAATAATAAGAAGATATCATTAAGCAAATATGTTAATGATGAACAGGTAATTTTTCTTTAAGTGGAAAAATGTTTCATCTAGTAATGTGATCTAGTTAATTCTCTTAGAATGCTGTGGACATGCTAAAAAAATTAACTACAGCTCAATGCACCTAATAATATACATAATAGTAATTACATATATAGTAGACATTTTGCTAAACTTTTCTCCTTTGAGGAGAAGACAGAAATTAATTTTTAATTTCTTTATTTACAGATCCAATTATTTGGTTTGTATTTATGAAATAAAAATAAAATAAACAATTTAGATCTGTTTNACTCTGTTATTAAGCATAATTTATAAATATTATGTTTTATATTTTGCTTAAAATATAAACATAATGGTTATAAATTATGCGTCATATTTTGCTTAAAACTGCCTCCAGTAATCTACTATGACTTTATTCAAGTGAAAATAAAATGGCATACATTTAAAAAAATAATAAAATTTGAAGATCATTCGAGCAATGTAAACCAATTTTCGAACTAAGTGGAGATTAGATTAGCAATTTATATTCAGCGTTATGTCGGAGAGTCGATGAAAATCGAACAAAATTGGGAGTCTATGTTTACTTAAGAGAAATAGGAGATAAAGCAGAGACCAAAAAAGGTATTCATTCATCCATTTGAGAAGTGTGAGCACGTTTGGCTCCAGTAATGCCTGACGAATATTAATCAGACACCACCTAATTCCATTAAAGAAAACGATAGATTTTTCTGATATTAGGACTGTTATTATCTCACCCGTTTATCGAGACGACGTCTAACTAACTAACCCCTTCCTCGATCACTTCTCAGTCATTTCTCAAGTTAGGGCATTAGCCCTTGGCAGGTCATCATTAAGGATCCTTCATTAATATATTCGCTTTGTGATCAATTGTCATCGCTCCAACAAAAAAATTATATTTTTTTGAATTATATTTTCTGTTTCAATGAATTACAGTTTAATTCTTTACCTGTTTTTTTAGTTGTCTTTCGTGTTTTTTTTAAAATTAATTTCATTAGTTTTAAAAATGATTTACATCATCCTTGTAAGCGCTTTATATATTTCGGGTACAGGCGTTCTGGAATTAATCTTGTAATTTTATTAACTATAAAGAAAGATGTATAAATTTAAAAACTTTTATTAATTATTCAAGATGTTTTAAGGTCTCTAATATTAAAGGAATATTTTGTATTCGTTCATTTTAAAGCATTCTAGAATTTTTATCGTTAAGTTATAAAAATGAGGATTTGATTACATCCGAGACTTTCATAATGCGGATGTTGTGATAATGAATTTTTCAAGGAAGTTGTTAATAATAATATATATATATATTTAATGAGATAAATTAATATAAAATTGTTCGATTTATTTCTTATATTATGCTAATTTAATAGAATCTCGAAATGTTTAATGCAACTGTTTTCTAAATTTTTTATTGTATTATTTTCTTTGTAGATATCTACAAAGTAACCATCTGACGTCGGTAGCCGATACAGCATTCTCAGACACTCATTCTCTGCATGAAATGTGAGTACGAGTTTTGTATATTTTTTATTCACTGTGTTTGTTTTACTTAGCGATTGAAAAAAATGACGCATAGGTTAACATTCGTTATCATTGCATTTATTGATAAGGATATAGTCCCGTAGGCAGCCATAGAGGTTTTAAAAAAATGTGTATGACAATACTTGACAGGTGAGATCTCACCTACATTCCGCATTTTGTTCGATCCGCAGCGGGGATTGCGATTTATGGAGAGCTAAGGCGCCAGACCCAGTCCACCCTCTTTCCATCTTCCCGGCGGGGAAACCCCTGCGTCTTTTGTAACGTTCCTACCTCAATAGACATTCTTGCCCTCCCAGTTCTTTCTAAATCACTCCAGTCTGACTCGAACCTGTTTTTCTCCCGTCTTCTCCCCTGTATTGAAAACCATCACAGAATCAAAATGTGCCCGTAGGGTGTACAAGCACAGGAGTTTAGTCTCTTTCCTGTCAGGATTATGTTAATGCTAATTAAGATTTAAAAAAAAGAATGATTTTTCCTACTAAGGCTGTTTCCAGGGGGGAAATTGTTTAATTGTTCTCGTAAAAGAGAGCTCGATTGTTGATAGAAATCACGATTTTCGTTCGCACCGTCGAAAAAAGTTCTACTTTTCTGTGAATATCATAAACCGGCATCACGACTTCAGCTCTAACTTTGTATCGGAAATTCATTTTGCTTTAAAATATTTCCTAACATTTGTTAACAAAATCACCGTTAACGTGTTAATTGCCATTAAATTAATAAATATTTAAAAACTTGTTAATTTAGATTCATGTTTTTGAAAATTGTTTTGTTCTTTTCATGTGTATAAACTATACAATTTCGGTATGGATAGGAAATTCTACTACATCAAAACACATACATACATATACATAAATAGAGAGAGAGAAACATTTAAAAATAGAATAATTTTATTACGTATATAACCGATATCAAAACGCAAAAATTGTTCCTCACTTTTTAAATTTAAAAACTAGAATTTTTCGGTGTGCCCCTTTTTTGGCAATTAAAAAGTCTGGCGATATGACGTTAGAAAAGAGACCCTCGGCTGCGATAAACACCTTTCTGTTGATGCCATTGGCCCGACGTCTTCCACGCAAGGGTTAGGTGCTGGCGCCTAACTGGTATGTGAACGGGCCAAGGTGTGAACACGAGTCCGGTTCACTCGTCACACGAAGGTCAAGGTTCATCCAGATGGATATCCGATGAGAATACCTTTTTGGAGATGCGAATATACATACACACGAGCGCCTATCCCACGCGACGCACCCGTTTCTATGGCGTGACGCGTCCAGGGGAGGTTATTCGCGTTGTCGAGTATCAATCTTTCCCTTCATCGAAGAGTGTTACTAGAAAATAGTAGGTGAAAGCAACCCTATCCGTCCTTTAGAGAATAAATCTGGCGAATCTTCCACTAGGTTTCTCACCTCGGGTGCGAAAAATACGCTGGATTCTATCAGCGGGGTTTTACTCCATCTATCACTTGTCAAGACATTTAAACGCTTTTTTTGGCCCGGAGTAAGAGGCGATGCGCAAAAATTAGCCAACATTGTTGTTCCCGCCATCCCTTTTTCTTTCGACCCCAGTATCGTGAGGGAGTCTGGGTAATTACTCCCACCCGTGATCGTCTCCCGCGTAGACGTCGAAGGTCGACCACTCTCACCTTTAGCAGTCGCGACGGTCTTTGCCACCTTTTCATGTAATGCGTTAAGAACTGGTGTTTGCTCACGTGACTCGCACCTTTCTAAATTTATGAAATGTTAACTTTTTCCTTTTTAAAGACGCAGTTTGCTTCTTTTATAAAGTTATTTTATTAAACGATGTTAACTGTTACTGAATTATTTATTATATAAGTGTAAATTAAGCATTATAAGTTATATTATTTGTTTTAATATATATTATACATATGTAAAGGACAATTTCCTGTCATTCCTCCCATAGTGCGCTCAAAAGTTGCACCTTATTTTAAGTTTTCAATTTTAAAATTTTCTCGATTTTTTTAAATTTTTTCGGAAAATAAAAAAAATGGAAANAATACACATCTCTGTATCAAAATAATCAACTTAATGATTTATTGTTGTATGAATGAAGTGAAATAAAATTAAAATTTTCCATTAACAATAATTACAATATTGAAAAGTCTAACTTTAAAAAATTTTTCTTTTGACTATGCCAATATAATGGCAATCTGTAGGGAGAAAAGAAGTAAATGATAGAATATAAGATGAAAATAAAAAGCATTATTTAATGAATTTAAAAAACACCAATTAAAAATATTTTATTAAAAAATAATATAGAATATTTTTTAAAAATTTACAGAAAGGTTAATGACAAGTACTTTTTTGCTTGTGAATAGTTTGTATATGTGAATGTATTAAACTTAATGATTGCTTCTGCATTATCCTAAGATTGACAGATTTTGCTACTATCAAATCAATAGAAATTTGTGCAGTTATAATTCATTTTTTTTTACTTTCAAAAGAAGCTAAGTAAGAATGATTAGATTTCTAGTTTATTTAATAATAAGAAGATATCATTAAGCAAATATGTTAATGATGAACAGGTAATTTTTCTTTAAGTGGAAAAATGTTTCATCTAGTAATGTGATCTAGTTAATTCTCTTAGAATNTTTTTTAAATGTATTACTTGGCTTTAATTTGAGTATGTTTTTCGCGTTGGAACGAATTATTTGGTTTTACATGTAATCGTATGGGAAAAGATGATCCACCTTACGACATTTTCATGATACGATCTCAGTTTCGGAACGGATTAATTTCGTATCCTGAGGTACCACTGTATATGTTTTTTTTAAAAAAAAAACAAAGAAAAATATATGAATTTTGAAATCTTGTAGTTTCCAGAATCTATTATAAAATTAATTTTCTTAATTTAATATACAGCAAGTCTTCGCTTAACATTGTGGATATGTTCTTGGAAACTGTGATGTTAAATGAAACAATGTGTAATGAAACTAATTTTACCGTAGGCTAAACCATATAAACAAGATATAATTTGGTTAATATTATTCTAATTGGATTGTATTTGCAAACTTCAGCATTTA